GTGGTCTCGTTGGTGTATGAACCTAACTAAGAATATTTTCTTTTGAATTCAGTTTGTTTGTTTTGTAATATAAAGAAAATTGTCGTCCTAACTTCTGATAAAATAATGGTTGTCAAATAACAACAAACTTAAGTCTTACAAACGGACAATGTAATCTGCTGCCTAAAAAAAACAAACAACAACACATCCCAAACCATAAGGTTTTACAGAAACTAATAAAACACCAAACCATAGGTATTCTTCGAAGTCAAATTCTTCACACCAAACTATAGGTATTCTTCTAAGTCAAATTCTTCTACTTCCACATGGTTAACATCACCCCAATTACCACTACAAATCCAACAGACGACGTGATGATAACGTTGCGTAAACCATTGTTCCTTTCCTTTAGTTTCAACAACTCTTGCTTGAACATGACACATTCATCACGGTAGTTCTTTAACTCGTTCGCAAAATCCGTCGGGAATTTCATATCTTCAGTTTTCTTCTCTCGCATCAGTTCATTTATCGTATCTTTTAACTTCCCTTCTGCTCATGCATGTGATCTCTTGCCTCCAACAATGCAAAGTATTGCCATCCGTGAGGTTTCTCCAAATCAAACCAACGGAAAAAATTGCAAAAGTTGTACCCATTACCAACTTTACGTCCTCTACCACAACTATAGAATCGCCTCACAGGATTGTCATCTGTCCAAGCTTTCACAATCTTTGATGGATACTTGACACTTGCAAGACACACAACACCATTGTTATCATTTTTGTATTCAAAGTTTGACGAACCTGAACTTTGAGCCATCTGCACAAAACACACATATACACATCAAATGCATTATTACTTTCGCACCAACCTTCATTAACCAACATAATCACCATCAAATCTGATTCCAAATTTTCTACATTCATAAATTTATACAAGTAGACATCATAGAAATCGAATTCCTAACCTCTATAGATTCGAAAACTTACGAGGAATCCTTCGATTGTTTAATCTTTCTCATTCGATTCTCCTTCTCCGTTTCTGATTCTCTCTATTTGTTTTTTTTCCAGAAATTTTCCCCAAATAACGAAACCCTAGAAGCCAAATCGATTTGGGGGGAGGGTTTATGTAAATATTAATTAAATACGTTTTATTTTTTTAATAGCAAAAAAAAGATACGTTTTTATTAACAAAACGGAGTTAACTTTTCTGTTAACAGAGTTACTGTTCCATCCCGTAAAAATATCGGCGCGACCAAAAACCATATTTTAACGGTTTAATATGATAACAATGTTACCTTGGAAATTTAAAATATGAGTGCTAAAATTTGGAAATTTAAAGTACTAATAATATGTATTTTGGAGGATTTTTTATGTCATTTTCCCTTAATATTATTATACATATGATACCATAGATTTTCTAACAATATGGTGCCAATTATAGACTCCGTTTATTAAATTATTAATTTTGCTGATGCTAATTTAACCTTTTATTTTCGTCAACTTTTTCTCTCTTTGTCGTGTAAATTGTTTCGTCGGTTGCTGAGATATTTTCACAGCTCCCGAGGAAAGAGAGAGAGCACATCATCTCTGAAGCGAAAACCAAAAAAAAATCCGAGAGGAAGAAGAAAGCTATGGCGGAACAGCTAACTGACGAACAGATCTCTGAGTTTAAGGAAGCGTTTAGCCTCTTCGACAAGGATGGAGATGGTTTGTCTCTTCTCATCTTCCTCCTTTTTAGATCTCCTTCTTTTGCGATCCCATCCTTGGAAAATGTTGACTCTGATACGATTGATATTGCAATCATATCATTTCTTCTGTGATTGAATCGATTGATTGTCTTTTTTTATTATTTCGTGTCTGTTTCATCTCTTAGCATAGAATCGCATCATGATTCTTGTCCAGAGGAAGAATATTGAAAACTAGGTCAGTACTGTGATTCAACCAAAATCTGGTAGTGTTTGGTTGTATTTTGCATCTTTATCCTTTGATATGTGCCAGAATTGTATACCAAAATGAAAAAATTCTTTGTATCGACCACTACTATCTGTGTACAGAGATCAGGTTTCATGCTGAATGAGTCAGATGATTCTATTCATTTTTCTGATCATGTATTTGGCTTTTGTGGTATCAATCTGATTCTGTCAATGAGTCTACTTTGCATGTTTCTCTAATTATGATCTTGTTACTGATGGACTAAGGTTGCATCACCACAAAGGAGCTGGGAACAGTGATGAGGTCTCTAGGACAGAACCCAACAGAAGCTGAGCTCCAAGACATGATCAACGAGGTGGACGCGGATGGTAACGGAACCATTGACTTCCCTGAGTTCCTAAACCTAATGGCTAAAAAGATGAAGGATACAGACTCAGAGGAAGAGCTCAAAGAAGCCTTCAGGGTGTTTGACAAAGATCAGAACGGATTCATATCTGCTGCAGAGCTGCGTCATGTCATGACGAATCTTGGGGAGAAACTGACCGATGAAGAGGTTGAGGAGATGATCCGTGAAGCTGATGTTGATGGTGATGGTCAGATAAACTACGAGGAGTTTGTTAAGATTATGATGGCTAAGTGATGTAATGGGAAGGTAAGAAGAAAGGTCGTGATGATGATGCCCTTTTAACTATCTACAAAAAAAAAGATTCGACCTGTC